ATACATTTTTAATAAAAATGCATAGAGAGGAGTTCCACAAAAAACATTTACCCAATTCCCCACACATCCTAAAGCAGGCGTCCCCAAACTTTTTACACAAGGGGCCATTTCACTGTCCCTCAGACTGTTGGAGGGCCGCCACATACTGTGCTCCTCTCAATGACCACCAATGAAAGAGGTGCCCCTTCCTGAAGTGCGGCGGGGAGCCGGATAAATGGCCTCAGGGGGGCCGTAGTTTCGGGATGCCTGTCCTAAAGAAAGCCAGAAGCTCTGTCTCTCAACAACAGCTCTCCCCTTCTACCATAGAAATAAAGCTTTAGCTGAATAGTGTACATGGTTGCATAAAGACAACAGTCCCCAGCCTCTCTTGTTATGAATTAGGGCCATTTAACATTTCTGGGTTATGCCTCTAAAAAGAAACCTGCAGGCATTTCTACCCTTTCCCTGCTCCTGCTGTCTGAGATGAGAACTGAAGCATTTCTGGAACTCTGAAATGGAATCCAGGGGTTAGGGTGACAGTCACTCTACCAGACCTGGCTCACCTACCTCTAGACCGTCTGTGATACAGAAATAAACCTCTATTTTATTTAAGCCACTGTACTTTGAAGTCTCTTAGAGACAGAAATTTACTGAGGTGAGAAAAAAAAAAAGCCTGTGAAAAATAAATCCATGGTTCAGTTTTAGTCTTATTAAGTTCGAAATTCCTATGAAATATCAAAATAGCTATGTCAAGCGAATAGTTAGATCCACAGTCTGAAGCTCATAAGAGAGATCTATTTTAAAGACATAAATGCAAGAATTGTCAGCATACAGATTTTAATCAACTTTATTGAGGCATAACTTACAATAAATTGCACCCACTTGATATGTTCAATTTCATGAGTTTTGACTGATGTATACACCTATGAAACTACCTCACAATAAAGATACAGAACACTTCCATCACCCTGAAGGGCTTTGGGTTTTTTGGGGTTTTTTTTTTTTTTTTTTTTTTTTGTACTTCTTGGAAATTCATCCCTCCCTTTGTTCCCAGCCTAGACAATGCTGTTCAGCTTTTGCCACTGTAGATTAGCTTACATATTCTAGAGTTTTAAATAAATGGAATCATAGTAAGTACATGCTCCTTTCTGTCAGTCTTCTTTCACTTAGCATAATGCATTTGAGGTTTATCCATGGTGTTGTGTGCATTAATAGTTCATTCTTTTTATTGCCAAATAGTATTCCATTGTATACATAACACTACTTTGTTTAACCATTCACCTGTGGATGGACTCTTGGGTTGTTTCCAGTTATGGCCTACTGTGAATGAAGCTGCTATGAAGATTCATACAAGTCTTTGTGTGGACTTAACGTTTTCCATGTAGATGGATCTTGAATCTTTATGATTCAAAATGCCCAGGAATTTGAGAAAATAAGAGAGTGCAGGACTAAGCACTGAGATATTCTATTTATTTAGAGTTTGGATAGAAGTTTCTAAAGCATTAGAAAGAAAGGCCAGAGAAGGAGAAGCAAACCAGTTAACCATGGTGTCACTGAAGCCAAGAGAGAAAAGTATTTCAAATGCAGGACTTGACAGCTCTGACGAATGCTGCTGTGAAGCAAGATAGGAGGTGGACTGAAGAGTGTCAATTATATTTGATAATGTGCCAGTGATAGTGATTCACAACCTCAGCAAGATGAATTTAGGTGAAGAAGTGGTGGTGAAAACCAAATTGAAATTAGCCAAAAAGCAAATAAGAAGTGATGAAGTAAAATAAATGTGTAGACAAGGGCTCCTAGAAAATTGATTGTGAAAGAGGCAATTGAGGGGAAGGTAGAGTTATGAAGACCTGTTTTAAATAAGAAGCATGTTGGAATGATGATGGGGAAAGTTCAGTTTGGGCATAGACACAGGGAAAGTGTCCTATATTCATCCAATAAGGGCATTTTATTATGAAATGTGTATGACAAGGCAACTGAGGGTATTTGCAAGAAAGATATTTAAACGAACGTGAAATGTAAGTGAATTGGGAATAAAAGTAGGAGGAGATGGCGAGGTCAATGGATGGATGGTCTTGGTGAAGTACTGCTGTAGGGGAAGCGGGGAAGAATGGAAGTAATGCTGACAAATGGCAGGTTGGAGGAAGTGACTTCAGAGCAAGGCAGTCTCTGGCAATGACAAGAATAGAGTGTGACCATGGAAGTGAATGGCCAAGTCAGAGTGCAGGAGAAAGTCATCATCACTGTGGAGGTCAGGCAACTGCGAGACAAAATGCCTGCTGTGCAGGCCGTCCACGTAAGTACTGAAGTTCCCAAGGGTTAAGACAAGAGTCAGGCTAGAAAACCACGCTGGCAACAAGCACACTCATCTCTAGGAAAAGGCCGGACCCCTTGTCAAGATGAACTGAGATGGGAAAGGAGCTTTCTAGGGGATTAGAGTCCATAGCAAACAAATACAGGCTGTGGGGCCACTCCAGCAGGTTTTGGAATCTGGCCTCAGATTCAAAAGATGTGAACATCTATGGGGTGGGTGTGGAGGGATGGGGGCACATGTCTGGCTTCTGTGGAAGCTCTTAATTGGTTAAAAGCTATTTTTGTAGCTTAATAAAAGAATTCTAGGAAAAAATCTATGTTTCTGCTATATCCAGCAGAAGTTGTTCATATAGTCAAAGTGCCAGTCCTATGAGATACGGCCACCATTATTTTATATTTATTACTGTACTTAATCTTCTAAGAAAACAGGATTAACTTTCAGATTAAACACCATGTAAATGTTGCACTGTACTTTAATTAAAATGAATAAGCTAATTAAATGAGAAAAAAAGTTCAAAGAAACCCATGGGATTGTAGCATCAAAGAATATACCCTTTGTTAATGCTTTGTGATGTGAGTAAAGATTATAGCACATTAGAGATAAATATTAGTTGGATTTTGTTATATTAAAGGTTCCTGGATCATATATCATACTATTAATGGCTAGCTTATATTAATTATATCTGCAAACCAAAGCAATATTTGACAATTTATGATATACGATATATTATAACATGACTCAATTCTGAATAGGATTTTCAGTATGGATTTTAACTCTCATCTTGCATTTAGATTTCTGGAAGGTGGTGAATCCTTGTGTTTATTTAACGCCATTAGAAATAAGCCTTTAAAAGAAAAAAAGACTTTGTTAGAATAAAGGCAGACATGCATTCATTCCATCTTGCTTGTTACACTAAGATACTAAGTGTATAAGGGTTCCTCTGGAGCTATTATCCCAAGTGAGGGGAAGTGCCTGGTAGCTCTCAATGAGATTCAGTCTACAGCTCATTGCTACTAAAGTCAGGCCATGGTCTGCTGTGCAAATGTGCACTGTGGGCCTCTTTAATACACAGATTATGGGTTCTATAGGCCATTGCTGCTCTTTTCTACATAAACACATTCTTGGGGGATTTAAATACGCTCAAGCCCAGTGTAATTTGGGGTATTGCTCTTATCTGTTCTGTCATATATCTTTAGTAGGGAAATTCTCGGTTTGTAAAGAATAATTCCTCCACAAAACTGTGGATTTAACAGTCTGCTGAGATGGTCTACTGTTCAAACCCATTTCCCAGTTTATCCTTCATGTGGATTGACACTTAGTATCACCTCACTTAGCATGGATTCTTGATAATTCCTGCAACACAGCCCTTTTTACTTCAATTGACTCTGATAACGGATGGATAGATGGATGGATGATAGATAGATAGATAGATAGATAGATAGACAGATAGATAGATAAAGTTGGGGTGGAGATGGCGGTCAGTGCCAATCACTGTCTGGTGGTCTCAGAGTCCTTTTCCCTATGTAGAACCATTCACTATTGAGAAAAGGCTGTCTTAAAGTGTCTTCCTCCAAAAAACCAACTATGTAAATTATACAGAAGCCACACACCAGGAACTGGTAGGACATCTATCCAAATGCCTCCTAGTCACTTGCCAGTAGTCTCAGCAAAACATAACCCACATCCTTATCATTCTCTGCCTTTACAACACCTACTCTTAAAAAGGTTGTCCCAATAGTTTGTATGTATAGTATTAGACTCAGCCAATACATAACTAACAGTTGAAAACATTTTTATCTATTTATCTAATAAACGTTCTGTGTGATTTCAGACTTACTGATCCATGGAATAGAAACACTTGAAAAAGTCCTCCACCACCTCCAACAATTTTATGGAACTGCAGGGATGCCTCACCACCTGAGTTAGTCCCTGCATCCTGCAAACTACTGAAAAACTTGAACGCTTACATTGACCACACCAAAAACACAGCCAAGCTAAGTTTGTTTTTGTACCTTTCAGATTTGATTACATATCATTTTTATTGTTAGCATTATCACCTTGCAGTTTTATAGCTTCTTTTTTCTGAGAAGTTGAAAGAACGTTCTCTTTCCCACTTCACGATCACTTTTCATTTTGCAGAAAATTGAAGAGAAAAATAAGATAAGAAGGGGGAAAAAACTACAGTTAAAAAGAAAGATAACAAATGAAAATGGAGAAGATGTACTATTTGGAACAAATCCTTTCTACCAAGTATTAATAATAAATAATTATTTGCTTTAATATACTCCTTTCTTGCAAAACAGTTTTATGTAATAATAATAATAGTAATAAGTTGCTAACGTACTGAATGCACACTGTGTGCCTGACATTGCTGTTTCACATATATTAACTCATTCTCCACAACCACCCTATGAGGTAGATACTATTTTATTATCCCCATTTTATACATGAGGAACTGAGACACTGAGAGATGGTGTAACTTTCCCCTTATCCTACACCACTAGGAAGTGGTGAATCTAAGATTCTTTCTTTCATCTTCATAATTTCTTCAGGTTGATAAGAATATCCCTGCCTTACAGGTAAGGCTCACCAAGGCCATGTGATTAGCCTAAAGCAACAAACAACAGCAGATCTAGTAGGAGAAGAAGGAGGATTGGGACTGGGTCTCTCCCCACATATGATGGGTCCTCTCCCAGAAAGTGGGGCCATGGCCATCCCTCATACCATGAAGTATTTCTTCAGAGGAGTCTTAACTGAGTTCCTGGAAAACTCAATAGCGAACAGTGAAAAGAGATCTATTCTGAATAATTTCAGTATGGAATATATTTCCAGTCACCTTTATCTGATAATTATCTGACAAGACTCAAAAATACTAATATATACTTACTAAGAATTCAATCAACTAAAAATCACAACCTATAGAAAGTTTTGTTTACATACTATTGTTATAAAACTCAAATCACAAGGAAAGATGCTGATAAAAGAAACTGGTCTTCAAACCAACTTTTGTCCCTGTATCTTCTTTAATAAGTCCTATGTTACTTTTGCCCTTGACCTTCATGTTTAGTTGTACTAGATGAAAAGCAGACTTGGAAGATTCTTCTAAATCAGTGATAACCAAGACACAACCAGTGGCCACCACCCTCCTCCTGTGCCTGTGGCAGATATAAATTGCTCACAAGCTCTTTCCTTCTGATCCATGAGAATCTATCTCAGCACTATACTTCTAGCAGCCCTTACCAATCAAAAGTAATTGGTAAGCATGTTAAAATCTCCTTGTAACCTTTGTTCTAGAGATGTTTAGCATCTGTCTCCTATGTGTTCAAGTCAATATAGATTTCATTCAATGTTCTATACCTCCATTGTCTATCTCTACACTGCTGTGCAATAGGAACCCATAAAATCCAAAAGGTCTTTTACATCTGTCTTAGTCTATTTGTGCTGCTATAATAAAACAGGCAATTTACAAATAATAGAAATGTATTTCTCACAGTTCTGGACATTGAGAAGTCCAAGATCAGGGGCTAGAAGCTTCACTGTCTGGTGAGAGCTGCTCCCTGATTCTAAGATAGTGCTTCCAAAATGGCTTCTGTTTTTTTGAGATGACACATGTTGAGAAGAATTACTAAGGAAAATCAGGGCACCAGCCCCCAGTATGCAATCCATGACATAACCTCCCCATCATCACCACAGCTCTGCCAGTAGAGGGCTAAACTTAGGGAGGACTGCAGGGATGATGGAATCACAGGGAAACTGATGAGACTACTGAATGACTAATCAGACTCATGCCTTCTGCCTGGAAGGCTTGCCTACCCCAAGAAATCCATCATCTTCTGAAAGCTCAGGCCAAGCTGGCATAGAAAAATATCCTTTGAACCCCCAAAAGCTCCACTGAGCTATGAGAGCAGGAATGAGTCATTTTATGAGTTTCAGGTACATTCTTAGTAAAAATAAAATAAAATGAAAATGAAGGCATATGGTCAGATAAGTTGGTCTCTTCCCACTTCTTATCATCTTAAATTGTTAACTCTAAAAATGATACTCCACATGGCAAATGGGAGAACAGGTAAAAGCTAAAAGACTTGCTTAGAACCACATAAAATCCCATGACCAAATTTTGCAATGTTTCTAGGCACTTTCTAGACACGTCTTGAAAGTTTATGATCATTAGCTACTTACTATTTATCAGATACTTTTTTAAAAAGGAATTTTCATGAGTGAAATTTATCCATAGTTAGCTATAGATTGTTTTTTTAAAAATGTTGTACACTGAAATGCTATGCTGTCCTGGAGGTTTTTTGGTTTGGTTTGGTTTGGTTTGGTTTGGTTTGGTTTGGTTTGGTTTGGTTTTGACTGTGCTAATGATTTTGTAGGTAAGTTTAATGAGAAAATTTTATATTTCAAGTCTACCCAGTATAAAGATTATTTCATTTTACTGTTCCAATTTTAAAACAATTAATGTTCTAATCTTCTTAGAAAGTAGCTCAGATTTGGAATGGTTTGAACTAATGCAGTTTTATCATAGTCAATAAAAGTATTGGAATGCCACAATAATAAAACAAAACATAAGCTAAGTGAAAGAAAAAAGTGCCGGCAATTATTCAGAACCCTGTGTGTGGGGACGGGTGTGTGTGCACGTGAGAAACAGAGATAGTGACAGAGACAGAAACAAAGAGAGAATGAGAATAAATATGTCAAGATTTCTATAAAGAGAGTAGCTTTGTAGTACATGAGACATTTACAAAATCCTTTCTGATTTATGAGTCAGCTATTTTGGCTTCTGCCAGAAATGTGCTCAACATCTAGAATCTAGCCCTATTGGATTGCCTAGTATTAACACTCAGACTTCATTTGTTTCCATCATTGCTGGCTCCTTGCTAAGGAAAGAGGTTATATATGTTTTAAAAAGAAAAGAGAATTAATTCTAAGGAGTAAAAATCCTGCATTCACAGCATACAAAAACTTTTCATAAAAAACTTGTCACCCTGGAAGAGAAATAAGTACTTTTCTAATATTTTGTTAATGCAGAAGTATATTACAAGAGTTTAAAGAGAAGAAAGGAAAAATTTGCTGAAATGACAACAAAATGAAATGAGCATTTGCCAACATATGCATGCAGTTGTTTTCTACTCAGGTATTTTGAAATAAAACTCTAGAACTCTCTACTTAAAATGTTGATCCAACAATAAGTCCCTATTATATAGTGATTCTCACACCTAATATTCTTATTGATTAGCCTCAATACACCTTGAAGCTGAGAGGATTCATCAGACCTGTGCTCTATTCCAGTGGTCAACAAATTATGGCCCATGGGCCACATCCAGCATGCTGTTTTTGTAAATAAAGTTTTATTGGGACACAACCATATCCATCCACTTATATATTATCTGTGGCTGCTTTCATGATAATGGCAGAGTTGAGTAGTTGCTACATTGATAGTATGTCAACAATAGTACAACAATAGAGAGGGAATAGAACAATAGAGAGCTATCCTTATTTTTAAAGGTCTTTAGAAGGAGAAAGCACAACTTCCCAAAGTAGCTGATTTTAGTGGCTACCAAATTTTCCAATTAAAAAAAAAAAGTCAAAAAAAATTCAATATGTTGTCCTTCCAGAAAAAGTAGGTTGACCCCTTTTCTACACAATAAGTTTATCCAATGCTTCTTCCACCAGTAACATTCAAGTAATAGAAAAGCGAAATGTGTTTTGTTGTATCTGCTCTCCTCCTATGCACCTATCCATTGAACAAGTATTTATTAAATGTCCACTATGAGCCATACACATGGTAGCCTTTTTATATGAGACCCCTAATATACATAGACTAAAACTGAATGAGAGTTTTCTTAAGCACAATTTCTAATAAAGAAATGCTCTAATTTCAAAGTGAATTTCTCAACACATTTTAGTCATAAATGTTTGCTTCCTAATTATCTCTTGTCTGAATTTAAGATTTGGAATTAAGCAAAGGGATAAAGATTGCATCTGTTTTCTAGGTATAGCAGCACATGCCTCAGAGATGAGCCAGCGCCATCCCACCAGCTCGGCCCTCCCTGAACTTGGCCCTCTTCCATCCCATCCCGAGAAGCCTCTCATTGGGCACACATTGAAAAATCCTACTCTAGCCCATTCCTTTATGTGTATGAATTAATACTCTATAGAACAATAAAAAGCTATCCTTATTTTTAAAGATCTTTAGAAGGGGAAATCATAGCCTCCCAAAGTAGCTGATTTTAGTGGCTACCAATTTTTCCAATTTAAAAAACAAAAACAAACAAACAAAAAAAAATCTCTCCCTTGTCTATTTCCATTTAAACTCATGTACTTCTAGCTATCTTCAGGGAGTTGGAGAGGATCTTCTAATATTCTCAAATCTGAGTAAAATATGCCTCTGTGGTTAACATGTGTACAGGGGTCAAATCTTTCAGCATCTTTGAACAGCTTTATAGCTAATCCAAAAAATACCTCCATAATGGACAAAGATGAGAGAGTCCAATGTGTCACCCATGTTTAAAGAATCAAATTGCTAATTAGAGAAGCAATAAGATAATTCATTATAATAAAGTTAGATCTAGATACTATTCCTTCTGCTACAATCGCCTAAAGACTAAGCTGGGACAAGACCTGGACTGAATATTAGTGATTTTGAGTGAATGACCAGGGCTCCTTACAACACACCAGAATCATGGAAATATTCTGAGTTTGATCTTAAGTTCATGGGAAGTAGAATATTCTTAAAGTAGCACAATTCAACAAAGTGAGCCCACGAGCAACAGAACTGGAACCTACCCAGTAGATATAGTTGGGCTCTGAAGAACGACACTAAGCCACTGGGCCTCCCAGCACACTTTCTACTCCAAACGTCAAGCCCTTTTAAAGCAATGCATCTCCTACCATCCATTCATTCATCAGCAAAAAATCTGCTTTGACGGGATTGATTTAATACTTGGGAGAGTACTGAATTTGATGAATGCATGACAGCTGCTTATTTTGGCCTCTTTTGCTAAACTGTAGCCAGCATTGTTAGGAAAGCTCTAGATGGAAATTCTTTCTTCCTTTGGCTTCATTTATCAGGGCATATTCAGAGTAACTGCTACAAAGAGCAGAAAAGAAATGGCTTCTGGAGCCCTTTTGATGCAAAGGGTGGGTACAGTGCTAGAAACAGGCATGCTGCTGAACTGGGTGCTTATAGTCTCTGCAGACCCACGACATCCCACGCTAGCTCCAATGCTATTATCCACATACAACCCCTCCCTGGTTCTCTTTGACTCACTTCAAGTCATGACAGCTCTCCTGCCCTGTTTCTTCCGTTTACCATGCCAACTATTCTGGAAAATACTCTCAGGTTCCAGGGAAGCTTGTGAGGCCCTTCAAGACGCCAACGTTCTCCTGCCCATCCCTAATTGACCTTCCTTCTACCTGCTCTTTCTTCAACCACTTGCTTGAAATTTCCTCCAATCACAAACATCCAGGGTCTAATTTTTCTTGTATTTTATTGCAGCAAGTCCAGCACTATCCCCTAGTGGCATTAGGTCAGCCACTAAAAGTGTTATTTAGATTAAATTACAGGAAGTAAGCATGCACATTATGGAACATACTCCACTCAAGATAAAGAGGTGAAGGGTTCGTTTCCAGCTGAATTTACAGTGTGATGAACTAATGCTCCTTAGCTGAGAGGGTACAGTACAGTCATCCTCTAGCTTTCATTGTCTAAGAGCACACAATCACACTTGGAAGGAGAAAATGTACATTATATGCCATCATGGATTGCTATATATACATATTTATAAATTTATATTCATTGGATATTTTTATT